GCCTCGTCGTTGATCATGATGAGCTCGCACTGGTGCGCCCCGCCGTCCCGCTCCAGGAAGACCCGCGCGCTCTGGTTGCCCAGCAGCCGCAGCTCCGGGCCGCTGCCGCGGCACGCAGGCGTTGTCCCCGGAGTCCTCGAATGCGCATTCCAGGATATTGTTGAAGCACGGCAGCTGGTACGACACGCGGCGCAGGCCTCGCAGCCTCTGCCGCAGGATGGTTTCTACGTGTACGCGGCTGTTCCGGTATTGCGTCGTCTCCGAGGACACCACCCACTCCCCTTCCGGGTCGTAGAAGTACGTCTCGTCGCTGAGTTCCATGATGGGCGCCCTGCCGGCGGCGCGGTCCTCGTCCCCCGCGGCCACCAACTCCCGCTTGACGTTTTGCAGTATTTGCTGCTCCGACAGCCTGTCGGGCTGCCGGCTGGCCTCCCCACCCAGGACATTTGCGGGGAGCCAGTCCCTGCGCTCGTAAGCCCGGCCCGCGTTTTTGCCGGCCCGCCGCATTCCCCTGATGACCACTGGGATGTGTGCTACGTGCTGCGAGTACTTGTTCTTGAAGAACCGCCTCCCTAGGTTCGTCAGCTGGTAGGTGCCGTCCTCCCGCAGCCGCCGCACTAGGCCCCGCTGCCCGTTCTGCAGTAGCACGTAGTCGGCCGCACCCTCCCTGACCAGCGGCTGCCTTGGGTCGAAGGTCCTCGACTCTGGCTGCCGCCCGAGCATGCCGAAGTAGGCCTCCCCGGCCCTGGTGACGCTCCCGTCCGCGCGCTGGAGCAACGCGTAGGCGCCTCGGCCCCGCCTCAAGCCCAAGACACGGCTTCCGTCATCCGTGTCCCGGGCCCTCGATCCGGCCTCGACCGCCTTCCTGATATGCTCCCGCTGCCTCGCCCAGGATGCCATTGTTGTCGATTGCTTTTCTTAGGCCGGCGGAAAAAAAGTGGTCCGAGCAAAAAAAAGAGTCCCCTACATCCCCCTAAGTCCCTTGGGTGCCGGGGCCTCGCTGTTCACTTAGGCCGCCGGGGTCAGTTGGCGCGTTCGCTTACGTCTGATATCCACGATTAAAAGAACGCAGTTTTAGAAGGGGCAAGAGTCCCCGCCCGTGCTGGGCTTCACCTGCAGGTCGCGGACCTCCAGCACCAGGCCGCATTGCTTGCCCATGATCCAGACCTGCCGGGCCTCGACGCGGGCCTGGCACTCGCAGCCCGCCAGCGACTCGGGCCTCTGGATCTTGCTGCCGTCAGTGTCCCAGAAGCGGACGTTCCGCGCGTCCAGTTTGCACTTCAGGAAGGTCGCTCCCTTTCGGGACTCCTTGAGGCAGCTCTGCCACCTGTCCTTCACATCACCGTAGTCGCCCCAAATGCGGCTCGACTGCGAAGACAGCTCGTTAACGCACCTCTTCTCGAATTCCTCCCAGGCCGCCCAGACCTCGGAATCCGTTTCCATCGCAAGGCAAGCGTTCTGCCTGGTTCCTTGGTCCTCGCCGAAGCTGCTGGGCTCCCACAGGACGTGAGTCCACGCGGACTGCCAGACGATGGGCTTCCCCTCGGACCTCAAGGGCGCCGACTTGGCTCCCTTGGGGCTGGTCTGGACCTCGCCCAGGGCGACGCTAGTGGCGATGGTAGTCATCTTGACTTTGCTTGCCGGTCCTTTTCTTATAGGGCGAGAAAAATAGTGGTCCGACCAAAAGCGTTTGGTCGGCCCTCGGCTCAAGCGGCTCGAGGGCCGCCATTTCCGGAAAAAAACCCGTTTATGTTTGTTTTTCCGGAAATTCGTTTGGCATGGCACGGCGTGGTGTGATTTTCATGTTGTCAGTCGACTTGTGAGCACTTGAGGGCTCTGTGGTGAGACCCGGCTTGCTGCCGCCTTTTGAGGGCCTTACTCGGGGTCCGGGAGATGGGAGCGGTGGGGAGCCGCTCGCGGGGGTGTAAGGCGCGGTTTTTCGGCCCACGTGCCCACGTGTCCTTGCCCTTTGCCCGCATTCAGGGTGGCCAAGACTCTGGAATTTGCTCGGCCCTTGGAGTTACCTTTTGTCACCTTTTTTAACTGCGTGCCAGGGCTTTGTTTGACATCGAGGTGCACTGCCCGGGCCTTTTCACTGTTTCCGTTGTCATGGCCATTGTTGTCAGCAGATCTTTCAGGCCTAGGACCAACCTTGATCCCTTTGGCCCGGCGAGGCCCGTGTGGAGTGTTCCATGGACACCCCCGCCCGTGCCAGGATCGTTTGACCTACGTGCTGCCTGGGCCTTTGCGGTGCGTTGGATGTCGATGGTGCACTTGCTTTGTTTCGACTTGATTGGTGCCACTGCGCATGTGCTCGTGCTTGGGTCCGAGGTGTGCTGGACCGCATCCTGCAGACCTGGCCGGCCGGGGCTCCCACTGCGTTTTCACCGGAACTGTAGCTCCCCCCGTAAAGTGAATTGCGTCACCCCAATTTTCTGAGTATCTTGGTTTTGAGGGCGCCCTGAGCTCCCGGACATTACTCCCCCTACGTTTTCCTTGTTTTCCGGTTCGCCAGGTTTGGATGATGTGGGGATGCCGTGATGATCCTACGAGTCTGATGCCGGTGATGCCGCTGGCCATTTTCGGAGCTCGGTTTTTTTGTGTTGGTTTCGCCGCATTGGATGGTTCTGAGATGCTGTCGTGAGGAACTGGTGGGACACTCTTGGCATCGAAGCCGACATCATCAAGGCAGCAGGGGTTTGTGGGTCGCGTGGGCTCGGTCCCTGTAGTCCTGGAGTCCCTGTGGTTTTTGTGGGGTCCCTTGGGGTCCCTGGGTCCCTGGGGTCCCTGGGGTCCCTGGGGTCCCTGGGGTCGCTCTCTTGTTGGACACCCTCCTGCCGGGGAAGCCCCCCGTAAAGTGAATTGCGTCATCCCAATTTTCTGAGTATCTTGGTTTTGAGGGCGCCCTCAAACGATCTTCGGGGTTTTGGGTGATCCTTGTTGGCGCTCCCGGACACTACCCCCCCTACGTTTTCCTTGTTTTCCGGTTCGCCAGGTTTGGATGATGCGGGGATGCCGTGATGATCCTACGAGTCTGATGCCGGTGATGCCGCTGGCCATTTTCGGAGCTCGGTTTTTTGTGTCGGTTTCGCCGCATTGGATGGTTCTGAGATGCTGTCGTGAGGAACTGGTGGGACACTCTTGGCATCGAAGCCGACATCATCAAGGCAAGCAGAGGGGTTTGTGGGTCGCGTGGGCTCCCTGCAGTCCTTGAGGTTTCTGGGGTCCCTGGGGTCCCTGGGGTCCCTAGGGTCCCTGGGGTCCCTGGGTCCCTGACTGGGTCCTGGGGTCCCTGGGGTCGCTCTCTTGTTGGACACCCTCCTGCTGGGGAAACCCCCCGTAAAGTGAATTGCGTCATCCCAATTTTCTGAGTATCTTGGTTTTGAGGGCGCCCTGAGGCGACCCTACGTTTTCATTGTTTTCCGGTTCGCCAGGTTTGGATGATGCGGGGATGCCGTGATGATCCTACGAGTCTGATGCCGGTGATGCCGCTGGCCATTTTCGGAGCTCGGTTTTTTTGTGTCGGTTTCGCCGCAGTGGATGGTTCTGAGATGCTCTTGGCATCGAAACCGACATCATCAAGGCAGCAGAGGGGTTTGTGGGTCTCCCTGCAGTCCCTGATGTCCCTGGAATCCCTGGGTCCCTGGGGTCCCTGGGGTCCCTGAGGTTTCTAGGGTCCCTGGGGTCCCTGGGGTCCCCTGGTCACTTGTGCGTCGTTGTGTTGAACCGTCTGCTGCCGTAAAACAACATCTTTTCCATCGAGATGTCTCGCCAGGGCCCCAAAGTGCATCTATCCTTGTCTACACACTGCGGTTTCCAGGACTCCAGGGACCCCAGGGACCCCAGGGACCCCAGGGACCCTAGGGACCCCAGGGACCCCAGGGACGCCAGGGACCTCAGGAAACCCAGAGACATCGCGGACGCTGGAGCTTCTGTTGTTTTGGCATCCATCTGTTGCTTGTTCCATTGGATCAAGAATCCCTCTGCTGTTTCATCGGAGCAACGATCCATCTGTTGGATTTCCATTGGAGCAATGAGCCATCTGTCGTTTTCCATCGGAGCCACTACATATATATATATATATATATACATATTGCTTATTTTCATGTACTCATTTTTATATATTTCTATGTATTTATATCACTGTATTTGGTCATTTTTTCATCTTTCCATGTATTTATATTATTGTGTTTCTACAAATTTTATATATTTAGATATTTTTATATATATATATATGTATCTTTATATTTATATGTTTCTACATGATGTTTTGTTTTTTACATCCGTGTTTGTAATTGGGAAATGATGTGGCTTTGAGTTCGACATTTTCTTCTTTGAACTACTTTATGATGCTGGAGACGGTCCAGGCCAATATCATTTGGACATATCAGGAACTCTGAAGACCCTGGGTCCCTAAGATCTCTAAGGTCCCTAAGGTCTGCAGGGTCCCCAAGGTTTCTGGGGTCCCTGGGGTCCCTGGGGTCCCTTTTTCTTTTTGTCCGTTTTGGCGGTAAACAACAGTCTAGCCCTATCCGGCTTTCCTACCAAAAGCGGTCCTCTGGAAGCCTTTTTTCGAAATAACTGCTTCTGGCATCCGCTTTCAACCCAATGAAGGGGAAGGCCCTCGCATCGCAGATTGAGATGGACCCCGAGTCTAGAGAATCCTTTTTCAGGGACCCCAGAAACCCCAGGGACCCCAGGGACCCCAGGGACCCCAGGGACCCTAGGGACACGAGTGGGTTGATTGATTGCTGCCGATGACACCACAGTTTTTCAGGGACCCCAGGGACCCCAGGGACCCCAGGGACCCCAGGGACCCCAGGGACCCCAGGGACCCCAGGGACCCCAGGGACTTCGGGGACTCCAGGGATAGCAGTGGGTTTGCTGCCGAGGCCATGACGACCACAGCCAGAGCCGACAAAGTCAGTGCCTTTGCAGTTTGAAAACGTGCTTGTCCTTGCAGATGTTGCTCAACATTTTTGCCTCTTCCTTCTTGATGCATGACCCTGCCCATGCAGCTGATTTTGCTTGACATAGAAGCACTGGCGTCTAGAGCGCCACCCATGGTTTTCGACTTGGTTGCAGGCTCTCTTGGGCGCGGGCGGGTGACAACGGGCGAAGTCGCTCCCATGAGCCCTTGGGATGACCTGCAGGGCGCTGTCATTGCAGGCGATGCTAAAGCCCAGGGCGTGGCCGATGCAGTGATGGGCCAGAGCAACACGGATGCCGGGAGGATGGAGGTGCTGAAGCAACTCATGGAGCAGCAGTCCGTGGGAGATTGGAGGTTCTTGAGGCTGGAGACCAGCAGCTCGTCTTCTGAGGAGCCAGTGGAAAGCGAGCCCTTGGCCAAGAAGCCAAAGATCGAAGTGAGGAGGATGAACAGGGTGGAGATGCAGGAGGAGCTGAAAGCCCAAGGCGAGCCCGTCGAACCTGGCGCCACCGTGAATCAGCTGAGATCTCAGCTGGTGACGGCTCGCAAGTCTGTGGAGACGCCCATGGGCGCGGCTGAGGTCCAGGAGCCCCTGCCGGACAAGGTGGAGACGCCCGTGGACGCGGCGGAGATGCAGCAGGAGGAGACTGAGGTCCAGGAGCCTGTGCAGGGCAAGGTGGAGACGCCCGTGGACGCGGCGCAGGAGCAGGACAAGGTGGAGACGTCCGTGGACGCGGCGGAGACGCAGAAGCAGGACAAGGTGGAGACGCCCGTGGACGCGGCGGGTGACCAGGAGCCCCCGCATGACAAGGTGGAGACCGCGGATGCCGCCCAGAAGCCCGAGGAGAGCCGCTGGAGTCCCGCTCCTTCAAGGGCATGCACATACAAGGACTTGTTCTTCTTTCTTGCTGGCGGGCAGTGCGCGGCCAACTGTTGGAACCGCACGCTGCAAGTGGACGGAGATGAGTACAGGGGCCTGCTCATGATCGACGTGCGGACCATGGACGCGCAGCTGGCCAAGCAGGAGCACGTCATCACAAAATGCTTGGGGGTGACTTACCCACGAGAGCTCTTTGCGATGTTGGGCCGGGACCTGGACTTGGAGGCTTGCTTGCAACAGGTGAAGGACTTCGAGAGCGGGGTCGGGCAGGGGTACGGCACTGTGGACATGCCGCCTGAGCTCAGCGGCAAGTTACTGAAGTTGTTCGAGCATCCCGCCCTCGAGGCGTGCAAGGTTCTCTACAGTTACTGGGAAAACATGGCGGTCGCACTGTGGTTGATGAAGTGGGCAGCGCATAGGCTCTGCGGCACGTCCCAGCTAGAGGAATTTCACATGGGGGCAAGAACGGAAAGAGTTGGTGGATCGCGCAGCTGCAGGCCAGGGACGGGCCCCGAAAAAAACCAATCCACTGCCCTTTTGTTTTTCATATCCCGCCCCTGCCAGGCTTTGTTCGGCACGTATTGTGCGATGCCCGACTCCGATCTCCTGACCCGCTTCAACAGCCAGCAGGCCACTCCGCAGCACATGCAACTCCGGGGAGCTCGCCTCCTACCGTTTGCGGAGATGAATGCCTCGCATCGGCCCCAGGCCAACACACTGAAGTTGTACAGCGACCACAAGACTGTGATCCACGCCCGAAACCATGTCAGCTTCCGAGTTCAGTTCGGCTTGGTGATGTGCTCCAACGAGCGGCTGCACATGTCTCTTGACGGGGGAACCGACAGACGACTGTCGGTGGCAGAATGGCCGATTCAGTTCTGCCAGGTGCCGCGGTTGGTGCAGGTCGGGCTCAAGGACGAGCAGAGGCTCGCTGACAACAGCCCAGGGCTTCTCTACGTGCTGCTCAAGGTGTTCAAGGTCTTCGGCGCCGTGCAGGACACTCTGGTTCGGCCGTGGCCGCTGTGGGTGGAGCAGGCCACGCGCAGCTACCTGCAAGGCGATTCAGTGGAGTTTGTGTGGGAGTCTTTCGTTGAGACGTGGGAGATGGCCTCGAGGCCGTCCATGGAGTGTGCGGGCTACGGAGTGGTGTCGGATGCCTGGGTCGCCTTTCCCAGGACAAAGAACGTCGGCGTTTCGGCCGCCGGCAGTCACTTCAAGCAGGCAATGCTACGCCACAAGCACAATGACCGCTACGTGGCCAAGTTCCTGAACGAAAACCAGTGCTTCAAGCAGCCTAAAGGGTCTGCGTAGAGTTTTGATTTTCCAAATCCGGGTGGCTGTCTAGTATAAAACACAGCTTGCAGCGCCATTTCAAATGAATTGCGCAAGTGGGCTGCAGCGCTTGACAGACATCCGTCTGCGGCTCTTGGTCGCAGTGAATTCAATGTGTCCGTGCGACATCTCTACATCTCTACATGATGTAGAATACAGAGCGGATCATGCTTGACACGGTGATTGTGTCGCGTGTGACGCGTGGATGAAACCAATCATGGTTGGAAAAGCAATTGAGCTTGCCTCTTGCCGAGACCGCCTTGTTGCAAGGATGGAGTGTAGAGTCACAGAAGCCAAGAGAATTCACATTGTCACATGCATTGCATCATGTATCCAAAGAAGACAGAGAGAGAGAGAGAGAGAGAGAGAGAGAGAGAGAGAGAGAGAGAGAGAGAGAGAGATTTGCCTGGAAAACGCCTAGTCCTCCACCCCCCTAATAAGCCACTAAGACGCGATGGTTTCTCCCCAACCGCATTGCGGCTGTTCTTTTGGGGTGCCCCCTAAATGCGCGTTCTGGCTCGAAGTGCTACAAAGTTGCCAGCTGGAGAGCGTTTGTGCTTGTGGCTCGAAGTGCTACAAAGTCGCCAGCTGGAGAAGCGGTTGTGCTCTTGGCTCGCAGTGCTACAAAGTCGCCAGGTGGAGAAGCGGTTGTGCTTTTGGCTCGCAGTGCTACAAGGTCGCCAGCTGGAGAAGCGGTTGTGTTTTTGGCTCAAAGGTCCTATCAGCCGCAGCGGGCCTGCCGCGCCTCGTCAGCCGCCCCGCCGCGTTGCCACTGCCTTGCGGCGCCGGCAGGGCCAGCTTCAGCAGGGTCTCCCGGCCCTCGGTGCTCCGCACGGTCATGGAGTCCACGGCCGCCAGCCGCTGCACGTCGCCGTACTGGGGATTGAAGCTCCTCGCCGCGTTGGTGGGCGCCCGAAACGCCCCCGCGTCCTCCAAAACCTTCATGCGCCGGTTCGTCAAGTCCTTGTTGTGCTGGAACCTGTCGGCGTTGTCTTGCAACACCCTGAACTCGGTGGCCGGCTGTTTCTCGACGTCCTCCGGGGCGCCGTGCACCGTCTCGTGGGGGCGCGCGTTGTAGGCCGACGCGGCCTGCTTGAAGTGGTCGGCCGCCTCTGCGGGCCACCCTGGTAGCCAGGTCCTTCTTGAGGGTCTGGATGCCCCGGTCCACCACTGCCATGGCGTTGCGGTCCTCCGGCCGCTTGGTGCGGTGCACCGCCTCATCGGGCAGCTCCCGGTCCAGCGTGGCAAACTCGTTGCCCAGGTCCGTCGTGACCACGAAGTTCTCGTCGTCCCCCGCCAGCTCCCGGGCCGCCCGCTTGGTGGCCCGGCCGACCGCTTCGACGTTCTTGTTCTGTAGAGGCTCCACAGCAGCCTCCCGGGTGAAGACGTCCATGACCACCAGGCCGTACTTCGTCTTCCCCCGCGTGTTCTGGCTGAAGTCGATGAGGTCCGCCTGCAACCGGTCGTTCGGCCCCTCCGCAGCCGACTTCCCCAGCGCCCGTGGCCGGGGCGCCTGCACCTGCCTGCCCACGTCGGCCTTGAGCGCCTCGAAGGCCATGGCCTGCGTCACGTCAAGGTCTCGCTGCCTCGCAAGGCGATACAGCTTACGGGGGTCCCGCACGTTGAAGTCGTCGGCAAGATCCCTCAGCGCCTCCATGTTTACTTGTTCTTCGGCCCCCGCTGGGCCTGCCAGGCTTCCACCGCGTCCAGCCTGGCCTGGAAGCCCTTGCGCACCCCCCAGAGCACGCTGGTGAGGTGCGAGTAGTCGAGCGTGACCATCTCCGTGCCGTCGCTCCACCGGGCGGTGCCCGTCAGGTTCTTCCACTTCGTTCCTGCGAAGTCGTTTGAGGCGAAGCCCAGCCTCAGGTCCTCGTTCATGTCCGGGCGCTTGTACTGCTTGGCCTCCACGGAGTCGAAGAGCTGCTGGAGCTCCGCCACGTCGGCCTCGGCCATCTCCGTCTTCACCCGGCTGTCCGACAAATTCGTGAAGCTCGTGTTGCAGACCACGTTGCCCGTGTTGCCCGCGATCACGAGGCAGCCGGGGTTCCTCTGGTTCGTGGTCAGGGACAGCTGCGTGGAGAGGCTCTTCGTCTGCACCAGCGCCTCGTCGTTGATCATGATGAGCTCGCACTGGTGCGCCCCGCCGTCCCGCTCCAGGAAGACCCTGGCGCTCTGGTTGCCCAGCAGCCGCAGCTCCGGGCCGCTGTCGGGGGCCGCGCTGTTGTTGGACACTTGCAGCTTGCTCCAGCCCGCCCAGTTCTTCGTCAGGAAGAGATCGTCCGAGAAGTCGGAGGTGTTGGTCACGGTGAGCGTGTTGGACGCGAAGAGCTGCGGCGCGGAGACCGTGCCCGAGCTCGTCACGTCGCCGCACACCACGCTGCCCGTCGACACTCCGCCGCTCGTGGCCGTGAAGGTGCAGTCCAGGCTCTCGCAGTCCAGCGGGCCCGCGGAGGCCGCCCCGGTGATCGTCAGCGTGGCGCCCGTGAGCGCCCGGTGGCTGCGAAGCTCGCCGCGGTTGCTGCGCCCGAGGCCGTCAGCGTGCCCGTGGACACGTCGCCCACCGTGGTGAAGTTCCCGGCGTTGGCCGTGTTGTTGATGGTCAATGTGCTGCCCGTGATTCCGGTGGCCGAGCTCAGCAGGCCCACGCTGGCCGCCCCGGTGATGCTCAGCGAGCTGCCTGACACGGCCCCTGTGGACGACAGCGTGGCTCCGGCGACGGTGCCGGTGGCCGTGAGCTGCGCAGGAGACTGCGCCCGAGGCGTCCACGCCCGTCGTGAAAACGTCGGTGCAGTTCACGTCGTTGCACAGCAGCTGGTCGCAGCCCACGTTGCCCTGCGCGGTGAGCCCGTCCAGCGTGGCCGAGCCCGTGAGGGCCAGCGAGTCGGCCAGCAGGTCCGTTACTGAGACAGACTCTCCCTCGAAGGCGCTGGCCCTGATCTGCATGCTGTACAGGTCCAGCGTGCCCGCCGACTGCTGCACCAGCCCGGGGATCGAGCCTCCGAAGGCTCCGAAGTGCAGCTTCGCGATTCCGCCCTGCGGCGCCGAGAAGTCCAGGCGCGCCGTGCTCCAGACGCCCTGCGAGGCCGTGCCGAGGAAGGTGCCGGTGACGCCCACGTAGTCGTTGTCGGCCGCGCTGACGTACATCACCAAGTTGGAGGCCGTGCCCAGCCGGTACCGGCAGCCGAAGGAGTAGCGTCTCCCCGGCGTCAGCGTGTAGGTGCGCACGATGTTCCAGGCGAAGGCGCTCAGGGTCATGGCGTAGCCCTCCAGCTGGAAGCCTCCCACCGTGAAGCTGGCCGAGGCCACGGAGCTCTGGCTGTTGGAGCGCACCAGAAAATTGCCTAGCGTGGTGAGCGTGGGCTCCAGCAGCACCTCGCCCAGGGTGGCCAGCGTGACGTCGTCGGCCCCTCCGTCGAGGAACTCGTGCTTCAGCAGCAGGGCCGAGGCCGCCGTGTCCTCCTCCTCCGCCGTGTTGCCGGCCTCCAGGGTTGCGTCCAGGATCTGGAGGCCGTAGACGTCCACCGTTCCTGCCGTCTGGTTGGGCAGGCCCGGCGCCTGGAAGTGCGCCCCAGTGCAGCTTCGCAACTCCGTTCGGAGGCGCATGAAGCCGTCTTGGCCGTGTAGGCGCCACGGTCACCCACGAAGCGCAGCCGTGGGTCGTAGGCGGTGCATCGGCCTCGGACATGTACACCACGAAGTTGGAGGCCGTGCCGAGCCGGTACCGGCAGGCGAAGAGGAGCTCTCGGCCGGGCGTCAGGTTGTAGGTGCACACAATGTTCCACGGGTTCGCTGCCAGGGTCAGGGTGTAGCCGTCCACGCTCGCTGCGCCCGCGGTGTGCGTGGCCAGGACCACGCTGCAGCCGCTGCTGGGGCGAACCGTCCAGTTTGACAGCGAGACGTCCGTGGGGCCCAGGATCTGCTCTCCTATGGCGGCCACCACCTCGTCGGCCCCTCCGTCGTCCGGAAAGCGCACTGCTATCTGCAGGGCCGAGGCCGCCTCCGTGACTCCGAGCTTGCCGGCGAGGAGGCCGTCTACTTGCGCGATGGTGTAGTAGCTGAGCAGCGCGGCGGCGATGCTCGAGGCCGTTGCCGTGTCCTGGTCAGCGGCTGAGCGGTACGCCACCAGCGCCGAGGTGATTTGGTTGGTTGTGAAGACGTCCTGGTCCGGGCCCGTCCGGTAGGCCAGCAGCGCGCCCGCGATGGCGGCCTGCGTCTGCGTGTCCTGCGCGCTCGCCGTGCGGTAGTCTCCCAACAGGGCGTCCACTTGTGAGGAGGTGT